CTTGCACCCTCCAGGACTTCTAACAAGATAAAATTAATTCCATTCAGATAGTATAGGAGCAGAGTCATGTAGTACAGGACAACAGCTTTCTTCTTATAAAAAAAATTTTTCAGAGTAAAATATGAGAAAAAAAAAATCTATATATACACTATACTATGTACTTTGATAGCACATAATAAATTGGTATAAATAATTAACTTCACTAAATCTGCCTTGCAAATTATAGTATGATCATTTACTAAAGGTCATTACTGTATAAGGTTGTATACAAATATTTTTACAATAACAATCTTACAGAAAAGTATGTAAAAAAGGTATCAATATATTAAATAAGCTGCTAAGTAAATGTAACTACAATGAAACCTTGAGTCTACTTGTGACAAAATGACAGATGAAATAACTATCTAGTTGAAAGCCTCTAAAGTGATGTACAGTACAATAGGGAATGTGAAGAACATCACAAAAAGTGATACACGTGAACAGGCTACCCTCTACTGGTCAGTGCCCATTATACAAGTAGCACTGTCTAGTAACAGTCTAAGACACCAGTCAGATATTTCTGGATAGCTCCTCTTTTTGCAAATGAAAGGTTAACAGTATCATAATGTCATCTATTAAAAGTTAGGCACACACAAATGCATAAAGATAAAAAAATACAAAGAAATAAGAATATTATTGCTGAAAATATAAATAAATGCAGTAGGCACCCTCCTTTACACAACTTATGTAATGGGCAAAAAAGGGAACTCTTAACATTTTAGTAAAAGAACATTTACAACAATTCACAGACATTACATTTCCTATCACTAGCCATTTTGGTGGGTAGATAATCCAACAATGGAGAAGGAAGACAGCTGATTTCAATTAATGACGGCCTAATTTTTAATACAGTCATAGAAGCATTGTGACAACCATTCTTGAAATGCAGCTCTATCTCAGGTAAAATAAAGCAGCTGTTTAACAGCTAAAACATGCTGCACTGTACAAATTGTTTACTATGCAAGTTTAGGCTCGTTTCACTTAAAAAAAAATTACAGGCAATTTTTCTCAGCTGAACAACCAGTATTTGCTAGATAAAGTATTTGCCACCATGAAAACTATGAGATTAATTATTTGAGGCTGACAATACATGGAGTTATTTTATATGGGCCATTTACAGAAGCAAAGCAGTATGAGGCAAGCCTAATTATTAAGTAATTTATAATTCTTTAAGTCAAATGACACCCAACACCCAGTGGTTTGCAGCATTTTCAATACTCTAAATGCAAAGATAGAAGAAATCTATCTAGACAGGAAAGCTACAAAAGAATATATACAGAACGATTAGCCAACCCATCTTATGTGACTCTCAAAAAAATTAGGAGCAAACATATCCATTATGCTTAGGTAGCAAAGAATATTTAAAGCATGTGAAAGTACAGATATTTTAAAGGTACTCCAACAATGAAAGAGCAGAACTCAAAATCAGTAACAAACAGTAGTTCAGCATTCTTCCATTTAACTGACCTTTAGCTGGTGAGAATGGTTGAGAAGCAAGGGGATCAGAGCAAAGTTCCAATGGAAACTGTAGCTGTTCTTCATTGTCTGTAGATGCTTCAACAAAGAAAACATACCCGATTGATAATTAACCCCCAAAATAAGATTTGCCAGTAAAAATAAGCACTACAGATTCAATTTAGTCAGGTCTGACTGGAACAGATTTTTTCACCATATGCATATAGCGATGCAGTTCTGTATAAACGCTTATTAGATGTCTGACAATAAATCCAGCCGCAAAATTGAACAGAACCTGTGTTTCGTTGAACAGGATTTGATTTAGTATTTTCAGGAAAAAATATTAAGTCAATTCATGTATTTTAGATTTGATTCTGCAGCTGGATCTCAGTTAGCTATACATTAAAGTAAAAAGTAACGTGATTTATTTCACATAAAAGAAAACAATTTACTGTTACTATTTAAGAAGTAAGGTATAACTAATGTTTTAGAACATATGGCTCTGTTCTACTACCAAATTCCATTCTTCAGAATGGAGTATCTTCAAAGTTCTGTCTAAATTCCCATATCCAGATTGCATACATATACTTCTAGCATAAGATGGTGCTTCATTAGCAAGATGACATACGCAGATTGCAGTAGTCTCTTCTATTCCCTCCATAATGCTATATGCTTCACTGATCTCCAAAAATATTACTGACCTACTTAAGGGTTTTCTGGAGGTTTTTTTGAAGTATTATGAATAATTTATTTGCTGCCTTCTTGAAGTAAGGACAAAATTTGCTACTTATAAGAACAAGTATTCTCTAATGACTTACACCACATGTTTCAAAATACAGGGGAAATGTTGTCATCTGTTACACTAATTTTTTAGAGAAAAATATTCGAAGAAAGGTGGTACATGGAATAAGGAAATAACAAACATTTTTTTCATGTTACTGTAAGTTTGTTGATTACGTACAAGCAAATATCTAATACTTGATAAGTAAGTCATCCTGCTGGAGGTCACATATATGAACTCTAAAGACCTCTATGTTATGACTTTACGATTTTATAGAACTTCCCTGTAAAAATGTGTATATGTAACTGAAATTAAAATGTAGACTCATTATGTACTGGAGAAAAAAAAAGGAAAGAAACAGATTATCTCTTATCTTTACATGCCTCACAACATTTACCTCTTTGCTGTGATTTTTCTGTAGGGACTTTGTTGGCTTGTAATGCTTGGTTTTTGTCAAATGTAATTGCAACAGCTGTGACTGCAATCTGCAAATCAGAAATATATGGCATATTAGGTAACAATCTCTCGTGCAATCTGCAAAAATAATTTCGCAAAAAAGCCAGCTTTTTCCACTGAAAAATAAGGGGGGGGGGGGGGGGGGGGCAGGGGAATCATCTCATCATCTCAGTAGACATATTAAAAACCCTTCACAGCAGAGCATAAAAGGTAATACTAAGGTCCGATGTTGGAACATACACCTAACAATGTTTGTCCCACATTTATGATTTTGCTCATCAGTTCTTTCCTTCTTTCTTGGTGAACCAACACAAAAAAGAATCATAAAAACTCATTATCATTGTATTTGTAAGAAAGAGGTGTTTAACTGATCACAAGAATGATGCTATACTTCTAACAAAAACATTTTATTTAAAAATAATGAAGTATATTCCATCATCTTGAAACTGAAAGAAAAAAAAAAATCAGACAGTTATAATGTCAGCACACTTAGAAAACTAGTGTGCCATATTCTTGTAGTGTATGTGGTTACACCTTTTAATGGATATCTAGTCAGCGCTTTTTGTTTGCCATCTAACTAAAAAGATACACGCTATTAAGATGCACTGTGATCATGAAATGCCATGTAGTCCCACTATTCTCAAAACTGGTGAACTCCATAGGTCATCCTTTTTCTTCACTGAAGATTACGGCCCTAAGTTTTACTTCAGAATTCACCAGACATGCTAGTAAACGAAATCCTAGCCTAGTTTACTCTGAGCAGCAAACGTTAATTAAAGACCAAAACTGTCATGCCTACGTGCTGAAAGTCAAAAGAAGCAGTTTACTTACTTGAACTAATTCATCTTCTGGTAGAGCAACTGTAAAATTTACATGACAAAGGCAGCAGGGAACCATAGATCGTAGTTTAAAATATAAGCTCTGTTGAAGACAAGAAATTATTTGTGTTACTCTAAAAAAATGCATGGTTTATTTCAGAGAAATTAAAGATCAAAACTATTTTCATAATAGAAATCATCTAATCATAGTGATTTTTTGTTGAAGAAGAATTACAAGCATGAAAATTTCAGACAGAATGCAATCTACTGTGTAGCAGTCTTGCTATTTGTTTCTACAGTACACTACCAATCAAAGGACTCATTCCGATTCAAAAAGCTTTGGAAATCCTTAATATATTAAGAAGGCTAAATCTATCTTTAGAGCAGCTTGCAAACTAATTACAGACACTTTGTAGTCTAATTCCAAAAAGTAATTATGAAAAAAATGTTATTTTCAGTATAGCCTGATTTTACTTCGCCTCCATTTGAACAATTTAAAAAATGTTTGAAATAAGATTCTTACCTTCAACAGATTCTCACAGAGATCATTAAAGTTCTTATTGAGTGTTTGATTTGTTAGGTTAATGTTGCTTAATCTGGATACTCTTACTGCTGTGAACATCTGAATTAGAAACAAACACACTTATTTTTTTCCCAATATATGCCTGTATGTTATATTAAAAACAAAAAAAAATCATAAAGGCGGCAAATAATGCATAACATGGGGGGCAAGGAGAGGGAGGGAAAGAAAAGGAAAAAACTGTAGCAACAGTAAGTCAAGTAAAGTGCTTACTGCTCATGAAATTTTACAAACAAAAGGCAAATTTCCTGTGAACTAATGTATATATGAAACAAGTGATTAAGCAAGATATGAAATACTCTATGTTCTTTTTACTTGCTTCATAAAGGAGTCACTCTACCTGCTACGCGTTTTGTTAACTGCTGTTGAAAATTATGTGTTAATTATGTACAGTAAAGTAGACAATAATGGAACGTCATATACAGATACACAGGCAACCCCATCAACCTGAGAATATGCTGCTGGTGCAGTCATATTGTTTTCAGGTTTGAGCTGTGCCTCTGCAAAGCACAGTCTTGCATTGTGCCAATTAGGTGTAAAAGCTCGCTCAGATAGATCCGTTTTAACTCTCTCTATATGAGGCTGAATTGTGTTGTACAAACGTGACCAAAATATTTAAACTTAATTATAAATAGAATTTTTCTCTACTGACCGGATTGGCTTTATCTAATTCTTATTCATCTTAACCCACTAATGTTATCATATTCAGTATCTCATACTAAGTAACAGTCAACAATTTGTTTCTTTTAAGAGGCTTCAAAATCTAGCCAAGCTTTTAAAAATGTCCAAAACCTTAAAGTTCATATTTACTGTAATTATTTTCTAATTTTTGTATTTTTGTACCAGGTTCTCTGTTACATAACAGCATTGAAAAAAACACAAACAAATAGGTTCTCATACCATATTTTTCTTACTAAAATACTACTTTTATTTCTAGCACAAGAGTATCCTTTTAATTTACTTTTCAAAATTAGTGATCTCTAATGTATATTTAAATTACTACAGCATATTTCAACACAATTCAGAAAAAAAGATTTAATTTTCTTTGAATAACCTTACTTGAATTTCCGGTGTCCAGTTATTTATACCAGGCATAATTTCTGTGTTGCAACTGTAAAAACCTGTAAAGAAAATATTTGGGGAAATCTATGTTGCACACTGAAATATAAAGATAATTTTAAAGAAAAATATGTGACCTTACTTGATGTTTTGCAAGTACTCTCCCTCACGTGTTTTTGAATATTGAATGATATACCAGAAATAAGACCAACATTCAAAAAACAAACATAGCATCTGAAGAATACAATATAACATACAAAAGAAACACATGCTTTCTGTTATTCGTACTGCAGTGAAAAAATGGATAGGAAAGATGGGACTCACCACTTCTAAAACACTGATTTGCTACAGAATTCTTATTCTCAATATTTCTTCAACCGCCAAAAAGCAAGGCCAGAAATATCATCATGTTGAGGAACGCGAGAGAGGCTACAATGGCATGAAGTGCAACAGTGACAGTTGTTCCCCATGGAGACTGGGTAACTCATGTCATCTGATACTAAGACTAATTGGTGAGACACGCTCCCTGACTGCTTCACAGAACCGCTCCTCGTGGAACCCAAACAAGAAACTCCTGACTAGTTGGTCCTCATCAGGGAGAAGCGTTCAAAGACATTATTTAGCTCTGATCAAGACATACTTAAGCATTCTTGTATGAAGGGCAAACACCCAAAATCCACTACTGCTCTGCCTAGTTTCTAATAGACAAACTACGTACAAATGAGGAAACTTACTAAAAAGGTGTGACAGGAAAAGCTAAAAGCTAAAAACCTTTGACAGACACAGAAGAGATGCTTTAAAGATACTACCTAGAGACTGAGTGCAAATACGTAGCACTTACTAACAGAGACTTGAAAAGACAAAAAATAAAAAGAATAAAGTATAATGACTAAACAGCAGGGTAAGAAAAGTTATAAACAGCAAATAGGCAATGCTGAAAATCTAAAGATATAGCTAAATAGGCACAAAAGAGAAAAATCTGGTAGGGCCTATGTAAATGCACAAAATAAGCTAGAAAAGAAATTGTGTAGCAGCTTGCAGAAGGTATAAATATGATTAGATTTTCTTTAAGAACATCAAAAGCAGAAATCTTGTTGAAGAGTCAAGTAAGATATAGAAAGATACGCAGAGATGATAACACGAGAGCAGAAAACACGCATTTTTTTTACATCAACGTTCACCGTGGCAGTGGAACTTTCCACAACAGTGGAACACCAGTCCCTTGTTTATTTTCCATCAGAGAACCTGTCTTAAACAAAAGTGTCTGAAGGAGATATTGAACAAACAGGTAAATGGAAAATAAGGATTCATATAAACAACAGGAAAGCCAAAAGATGAAACAGCTGACTAACTGGCATTGAACTCTAACTTAAAATTACCCCACTACCAGAGGAGAGGATTCTTTAACCTTCACGTAGTGAGGTGCTTTTAGTGACTGGGACCTACTAATTTGCCTAGTACAGGTATCTGTATTACTGGCCCGTAGAGGCTATTCCAGAAAATGGAGTTCATGGGCAGATGGAAAAACAAGACACCGCAGAAGAGCTGATACCACTTTTCTAAATAACAGTCACGGCTCACAAGCTGTCAACAGGCAGGTAGACAAAAGGCATCTGACTGATACAGTCCACTTCGGACATCGAAAAGCATTTGATAAGATCCTTCACCAAGACTCTTTAAGAAACTAATATGCTGAAAGGTAGAATGGAGTACCATTGAAGGAAATACAATTATTGTAAGACTGTAAAGAGAGGGTCAAAATACATGTTCACTTTTCACAGTGGAGACATACATATTCGTAACTTATCCGCAAAAGAGGATAAAATAAGGTGACTGCTGATGGCCTTATTTTAGAGTAGTAAAATCAACTGCAGCAGGACCTAACCATGGATAATCGATGAGGAATAAAAGATTTGGTGGTAACAATAGATAACTATGACAAGGATAGTTCTGAGCTCAACAGTACTGAAAATGATAAAAACTGATACCAATTATTAGGAAGGGAACAGATATGTGCTTAGAAGAAACATGGGGAAACTCACAAAAATAAGAGAGGGAGGACAAAGATGACCAAAGGTACAGAGCAACTTCCATAAAATGGACAACTACGTTAGCCTCTTATCCAGATCCAGGAGTTCCATCGAGGAGGATATGAATGATATCTATACAACCACAAACAGCATAAAGAAGACTGATACAAAGCAATGCTTCACTGTTCTTCCCAATATAAGAAAAAGGAAAAACCAAAGAAAGTTAGTGGCTGATACAAACCAAGCGTAAGAAGCCGGCTCTTACATGGGTACAGATCCTGATGCAAAATTCTACGAACACTGAAGGCACACATGGGCTCAAAATGCAAACAGCCAAATGCACAGAAAAGTTTGACAAAGGCTACTGTTTACAAAGACAGTAACTTTCTTTCAGGATGCTGTTGAACTATGAACACTATTCTGTGGCATTTTTTTTTTTCATTGCTCTTACATTAATGCAATACGCATTCTCACCTGATCCCTATCAGCAAGCAGACATTGAGTGACTCAGTACACCTCCCCCTATGGTGGGTTCTTAAATAATTTTTAAATGCAGGCAACTAAATGGACACCTCACAAAGTTCTATTGCCAGCAGTGCAGCCCCAACATTCGTATTTGTACTGTGAAGTAAAAAGACATCGAGTTCAAGTCTCATGATTGAATTTTGAAAATTATTCACTTTAACCAGTTTTATGTTCTCAAGTTGCAACACTTTTTAAAAATACATCTACAAAAAGCACCGAAGAAATTAGAAAACACTCTATTTCTATTACTTGACTTTACTGCCTTCTACAGAAAATGACCAATGCTAACTTGGATAAAAATGCTGTAGGTGATTTAAGAATTGCACACCATTTTGGACTTGCTTTTTTTAACAGCAAAGACTACAAATGCAGTGAACACAAAGACTTAAATTGACAGCATGGCACAATCACAAAGCAAGGAAAATACAAATGCACTTGTTGAACAAGAGTACTGTAAGGGTAAATTGCTCACTTTAAATAACATTCCTGGAATAAAACACCACTATGTCACATTATATGGCTACAAATACTTAAAGAACATTCTGTTCTCTGTACTTTACTTTCATTGACCCTGAAACCTACAAGTTAGCCATTCCGTCTAAAAATCTTCAGAAACTGGTATACTAGTAGAAAAGGTCCAATTGTTATACCCATATGAAGTAACAACAAATTTCCAACAGTACAAATCAGTGAACTACAAAATGCCACACAAATACTGTGTTTATTCCAGTTTTCAATAAGCAACAATCCCCATAAAAGGCTTAATGACTTGTTTTTCACAGGTATATCTGACAAGCTAAACACTTCACAAATATTTTCACTGTTACTTGAACTTTTTTTTTAATATAAAAACAGTTCTATTTTGTCATTTTGCACCCTACAGTATAAATTAGAAAAATATGTTTTTAACTATACCAGAAGGTGGTGGAACATCTGTCAGTAGAGAATGTACATCTTCCATTGCATCTGTATCATCAATCTAGAAAAAGGAATAACTGATAAAAATCATGTTGCTGTTCCAGTCAGAAGTCTCAGAAAGATGTAAGAACTCTGTCATCAAGAGATCTGTATCTGGCAGCTAAGTTGAGATTTTTAAGAAGGATTCCATCAACCAGTTCTCTGAATCTTAACTAGCAGCCTATGATACGCTTAACACTTGAAAAATAGTTCCCTTAATTAAATTGTATTAAAAATAAAGCAATGTGCACAGAACACAGAGAAACTGCAGTAGATAAGACAAGAATGATAAAAAGAGAATTTTTAAAACAATTTAAAATGCTGAACAAGGTTCCACACAAAAACTTACAACTTTTTGCAGCTAACGACCTTCGGCTACTAGAGCTCAAGGTCTGTATTACACTGATGTGATCATTCTCTGCTCCAATGACACACAAAAATCTTTCCAGGACTTTAAAAACCTTCCTTAGTATGAACAGCAGAAAATCAAATAGGAAAACGTAAATTTGGGGATTATGAGTTTTTCCTATCCAAACAACCTCTACTCCATTCAATCTTTAAAGACTTTTGCTATTTTAGATCAGACTGAGAGCATATCTGCCCTGCTACCTTCTGTAAATATTTCTGTGTCATATTTCTGTGTCATGTGTCTTTAGGTTCATTTTGCCCTATTGATCCGCAAGAGATCCAAGTTTACCTCTAACTTCCAACATTTTCTTATCAAGCATTTTGGAAATTGGTTATATTTTAACTGCAGTATTAAAGGGTTCTCTGTCATGTATTGTTTCTCCTTCTCCCTCTCAAAATAAGGAGTCTTTTTTTTCCTCAAAAAAAGAAGACAGCCTTACCTCTCATAACTGCCTTCTCAGCACCTCTGAGCATTTCCTCATTACAGTGGATTTTTTACCACTTTTTCTTACATATTTCCAGTAAACAATGATTTTACTCTTGAAAGGTCAGAGTCAGGAGCTTCACTAAAGCTCCTAGAATATTGTTTCTGATACCCAATTTCATAACAAAGACAGTAGTAAGTGGTTCCACAGATGAAAAGTCCTTTTTTCTATAAATAAAGATTGAACTACCAAAACACAGGAACACATATTCTAGGACCAATACATTCCCGTAATGTAAACCAGTAAATGACGGTCCTTAAACATAAGATCTTATTTGTCTTGCTAAGTTTAGCACCATTTATAATGTACTCCATAGTACACTACAGTGTACTTACATTTTTCCCTTCCACAGGGAGATCTCCTCCTATCCCCCCAAGTGCATATACTACAGTTAATAAATAAGGTAGAAGGCAGAATTCTCCAAAACTGTAAAAAGAAGAGCTGAACTCTGCTTGCAGTATATAATGCAGTCCTTAACCAGCTGATCTTTGCTTATAACATATCAAGCTTCTTTATGAGGGAACTGGACAGAAGTAGTATGCCAAGCTTTTATTATTGCTACCTCTCCTCTATTTGACAGCCTTTAGAAGTGAAATTATGTTTTTCTGGTATTTTTCATAACTTGTCCAAAGGGTCTCTTGCAGTATAACAGTCTTTGGGTTGGGTTTTTTTTTAATGCCTTACACAATCCTCTATTTTTTTACAAAGGCATTCGACCCTTTTTGCATTTATCAAAGTATTTTCTGATTGGCTCATCCATTTCAATACAGTGCCTCAGAGAGCATCTATCGTAAGTTTTGTTTTGAGGATACAATTCCAATCCTGTCCGTCTACACAGATGATGATATTAAAACAAAAACCTGTTAAGACCAGCTGCAAAAAATTCTTGACGAAAACTGTCTTCGTTTCTTTTTAATGTGAGAGTTAACTAGCATCAAAAGTGCTTTTAGGGACTTCCCAATTTACTTACTTTGATCCTAGTATACCTGTAATATACTGGAGAGCAAAAAATTTACTCAAAGAGCAGATGCACAAGCCAATCTCAATTTATTATACCAACCTCTTCCAACCTGTTATTTTTTCACTCTCCTTTCTTACCTCTGTTTTCAAATGAACTGCAGTTATTACAGCACGCTCTCATTCTCCCTATCTACAACCTTTCTTCCAGATTATTTTCTATTAAGATGGTGATTTGTGAAGTTTAACATGAAAGAAAGTCTTGAATGTACCTCAGGCTGTAATTTAGCTAAATTGTTTTCTTTTTCTTAGTCTAGGACAGGTATTTGTAATACCTGTATCTACAAGAAGATGATCAAAACTCTAGCCTCTTTAGTACTTGGCTCCTTTCCTTCAAACTCGTACAGTGTTAAAATCACATCTTTGAATTTTAGTGAATAGAGAAGAAATTTATGTTATTTATCTATAGGTGTTGTTCTTGTTTCTAGTTGTAGCTGTAAAAAGAATTGGAAGGTATTCTCTGAAGTTTTAAATTCTTGAACTCTGAAAAGCATCAGCTGAAATTCAGAAAAGCAAGTCTTCTTTTATGTGCTCTCAACACATGCGGTTTTTTGAATGCTTTGAATATTACCAGTTCTGGAAACTAGCAATTCTGAATATCCAACCAAAGAGCTTTGAAACGGGAAAAATATACAAGTTTTTTCTTTGCTAAATAGAAAGTGCGACAACACAGAACCTCAATGTTTATAGAAATATATCTAAGTTTTGGATCAGTCATGACTGCTGCTTGAAGTAGGCAGAAGGGCATTTCTTAAAAGCTCTTAGTTATTATTCTAGATATTGCTACGTGTCCATGAATAGCAGGGCAATCTTTTTTCAGATATTGTCCCTACATGTAATATATTCTATTTGCTTAAAGCATAGCTAAGAAAAAGAGACACAATGCAAAATCCAATACTTAACATCATCTACTGATACAAAATGGAAAAAATTATATACAATTTAAGATGTCTTTGGAGATGAGTAAGAAAACTTTTCTCTGTTTTTTTTATATATATTTCAGGAAAAGAGGAGTATGAAAATGAGTACTGAAAACATTTATCACCTCCAAAACAAAAGCATCCTTCTTCCCATGTGAAAGGTCTAGCTCTGTAACTTCATCAGAGCTTTCTGACTGAGATCTTAATAACCTGGAACGTTGTCTTGGTTCTGGAATGGGAGACCCAATGATTTCTTCAGGTAGCTCCTAAAAAGGATATAAAAATTAACAGTTGTTCTATGTAGCTTAGAAATAATTTCAATTATAAGCAATTTGTTAACAGTTCTAAGAATGAGAACATTCTGAAAATAATTTTACTGAGAAATAAAGCTAAATAAGTACAAACTGATTTGGATATGTGACTTAAGAGATCTTAAAATTCCAGTAGGTTCCCAAAATATAGTGAAAAGAATCTGTATCTCTATTAAAAAACAACTTATGTTCTAAATGATTCAGTCAATAAGATTCAGGGATATACATGGTGTACCTCTGTTTGACTCAGAATGCTTTATTTGTAAGAATATAAAAGCTTTACTTACTGGAGGATTAATCTCATAAAGTTCCTTGTTTTTGGCTATTGTATCATTTATTTTCTTTTGCATGTGAGATATATGCTGCTCATAGGTGCCATCATTTGGAGTCTTCCCAGCAATCTGAATACCACCAGGTGTTGGCAAAGCTGCTAGATACACACCTGTTGCAGACTTTTAAAAAGTCATTAAGAAAAATGACAATTACACAAGCATGTACTTTAATATTTTCATTTAAAGTTTTCCATAATGCTTATGCTATAACGGACAGCATTGTGACATGTACATTACAGCATGATCTCTTCCCATAATAAATGGATCTTTCCTGTTCACTTATGAAAACAACCGCTATTCTTTTAATAAACTCTCTCCTTCTCATAGGTCTTTTCCATGGTGGAGCTCTTAACTTACCTAAAAGTTCCAAACAACGTATGAATTAAAACCTCTGCCCTAGTATATTTTGCATAGGCAAGTGATGGTTTCAAGGATTTAAAACTTGGCCAAACCATTTACAGTATCATTGAAGTTGTGAGAATCCCATTTTTTACAGAAAACAGATCATCAGTTCAGACAAAAGAACATGCAAGCCAGTCAATATACCCAAGCATCCTCTTACACTGACGCAGGAAGAAGCAGCATACTTCACTATTCTAAACCCACATGACAGAATGAGGTCAGAAAATACTGTTAAAGAACATTTCTTGACTATCTCTAAGACACTTCCAATCTATCATTTATTTCTTCAGTGCCATCAAAGAAGAGGCGACAGACCTTTCTCTTGTTGGCAACTAACCAAAAGATTTATCGAGAGACTTAATTGACCTTATTTGTCATGGAACTGTAATGCAACTTGAGACCGGGATCTCTTTAACAGGATCTTTAAAGAATACAATCATTTTTCTATAATTTATGCCATTAAACCATTTAAAGTTTCTTCTCCTCTCATCCCCTTTTCTAGTAATCTTGTCCTCTAACAGTTTCAAGAGATTCGAATCTTCTTTTTCTGGTGCTGAAAGACAGTCTGTCCTGATTTGTCAACAATTAGACACCTCATTCCTTTCTACCACTTCATTTATTCTTAAAATGACATTTAATATCTCTAGTTACTCTGAATTCCAACACTTGTATGTCTGTGTCCTGAAAAAATACTGTAAGAAAGCAAAAGAATCCCAAGTTTAAAACTGTACTTACTGCCAACCCCATCAGCATATTTTCACCCACAGTGATCTGAATTCTCAGCCCAAACAGAGCATTCATTCCTCTCAGTTTAAGTTTATTCATCAGTTGCGTGTGCACTTCATATTCCATAAATGGCAAGAGATTACTGATAGATGTCGCATTTGCTTCAGCTTGAGCTTTCTTCTTTAGACGGCATAACCTGACAATACAAAACAGTGCATGACATCAGCAGATAGACAGTTTTAATGGACTGTTGAAGACTGAAAATGATCACAGGGTATTTTGATTTTTTTTTCCCCCTCATTGTATAACCTAATACAATCAGTTTCTTTTTAATGTATTTTAAAATCCTGCAAAATATTAAATTCTTATCAGGATGATCAAGGCAGACTAAGGCACGGAATCTCCATAAATAAGATTTGATTTTCATTTTTAATAGGAAACTTTATATTTATATTAACAATAAAAATGGGTAATACATAAGTTTACTTTTTAAAACAGAACAATACATAACCTTCAGCAACATTCAAAAATATTCCATATCAAAGCAGAATACAAAAATTACAAATACTGTATTTTCATAAATCACTGAATGAAGTCGCGTCTCCTTTCTTAAAACATGCTTAAGGACTGTTATCAGACAGAAACAACATGCATCACACAGGGTTTTTGTCATAATAGTCTGACAGCACCGAATAACCATGCAACGTAAAGAAGTTTTCTACAGATTCCAGATAACCATCTACTAGATGTCTGGCTAAATATATTAACACTCCTATCATATAGAAGCGACTGTTAAAAATTTGCCCTGCTCACTTTTGTCAAAGCAAATACTGAAGACAAACACAACTTCTGTTATTGCAAATTGTCTGGTATTTGTTAAACACCCCACCCCCAAAATAGATTATTTCAAGGGAAAGTTACTGTGGCCCTTTTCAATTGAGCCTCAGAGCTGACGAGTTGTATTCTTCTAGACTGCTGCTGATGAGCTGTATTCTTCTAGATTGCCGCAACTGTAAAATAGGTCAGTTCTTTACAAGAACTCGAGACTGTCTTATCTGAAAATCTGTATTTTCAGCTTCTCTTCTAAGTAAGACCCCAAATGCAAACATCTATTTCTGTTGCTGCAAACCTCTTAAACACTTCAGGTACAAGCACAGGAAATTACTTCCATTGGTAGAACTTTCAAAATTCCTATTAATACAAGTTATTCAAGGCACACTTCAGAATAAAGAAAAAACTGAGTGCCCTCACAGCTTAAGTATTAACCAGACTAAAAATACTTGTCTTAAAAGAATAAAAGAAAGAGCATAGAAATCTCATCTCTGACTATATTACATTAGTCATATTCCACTCTTTGGATTTAGTCCCATAAGCTGAAATTCAAACCCTACACCAGTGTAATGACTGCCTACTTTGAGTGACAAATTTTTGTTCAAAAAGAGCACATGACAATTCTATGTTTTAGTGATATGAACAGATGACACTTTCTTCTAAGGACCACATTTATTACATGATCAGGAAAACACAGTAATTCACCCAATCACAACAAGTTCACCTCAAAATCTTTCTAACCATAGCTTCAGGTCTTTTTTCTTTTTTTTGGGGAGGGGGTGGGAATGTTTAAGGAATCATTCTACAGAAAATCGGACATCTGCAGGTGCTCCAGACACAGATCGGGGACCACTGTGTGACACTAGAAGTCAATTTCTAGTGCTGAACACAGAGTTTAATAATACAGAAAATACCAAAGGAGGAGCACAGAACACATCCCTACAGTGGCTCCAGTAATTCTGCTCTAGCAGAAATCAGAGAATGATGATCATAGGATCACAAAAAAATCTCAGGTGAGAAGGGACCTCAGGAGGTCTCCAGTACAGCCTCCTGTACAGACAACGCAGGGTCAACTCTGAGCTCGGACCAGGATGCTCAGAGCTTTATCCAGTCAGGTCTTGAAAACTCCCCAAAGATGGAGACTGCACAACCTCCTAGGCAATCTGCTCCACTGCCTGATTGTCCTCATGGGTAAGTAGTTTTTCCTTATATCCACTCTGAATCTCTCTTGCTTCAACTTAGGCCCATTGTCTCTCAGTCTCCCACTGCGCAGCACTGTGAAGACCCTGGCTTCATATGCTCCGTAACCTCCTTACAGGTACTGGCAGGCTGCTATTAGGTCCCCCTGAATCCTTCCTCTCTCAAGACTGAGTGATTCCAGCACCCGCAGCTTCTCTTCACAGGGCAGGTGCTCCTTACTCCCTTGGTGGCCCCTCCACTGAACTTGCTCTAGTTTTCTGATGTCTCTCTTACTCTCAGAGGAGGACAAAACTGGACAGGTATCATACTGTCTGGTCCCACTCACTGTGGTATAACTGGCACACTTGAAGAGAATGCAGTCCATCATCCCCTCCACATCATTAAGGTGTTCAACAGGACAGGTCACACCGCAGTCTCTATCATACTTGTGATGGCCATCCAGGTGGGTCACGAACCATAAACCACTACCCTCTCAGCCCAACCATCCAACCAGTTATTTATTCATGTAGTTGGCCACCCATACAGACTGTACATAGCTAACCCTTCCTTCTTTCCCACTGTAAACGACCTTATTCCCTTTTCCAAATTCAAATTCAAAGACCACAGCATAAACTGGACATAGCCAACAATTCTACAGAGATAATGTTCAGTTATGGACATTGGCACAGAATTAACACAACTGATTCAAACAGTTCATTGAGTTTCCAGTGCCGTAGCTGTATCTGACCACGTTAGCAGCCCCAAACAGCAAATTAAATCATGAAAACTCTTACATCCAGGCAGACAAGATACAACAATCCCCATAGGTATTAAAAAAAAAAAAAAGGCAGAACATTTACCAGATGTCCATCAACATGGTAAGTTACCAGATGTCCATCAACAGACATGACACGTAACACGGGGAGGAGAAGGCTGTCCTCCTCCTCCCATACCCTAATGCACTGTCATTGACTCCTAGCAATTCAACATAAAAACTTAAGGTTTGATGACATACGGGATTTTAGCAACAGGAACTCTTTCAAAGATCTCCAAAACTTCACTAAAAAAACCATTTTGATAGATACCTGGCTTGAATAAGACATCCCTTCCCAATAACTATTGCCTCTACAGGAAGATCAATTGTGGTGAAAAGGACATCAGGAACTTTTTGCTTCCTGCAGTTGTAACAGTAAGTGAGGTGAGCAGGGAACGGCATGTTCAATTCATCATATGGTATATGGCAAAATCCACAACCTGGTGGTGAAGCTTCTTCAATCCTAAAAATACATTATGGAGAACATACTTAAAACATCTGCATCTTATTAACAATGATCAATATGTGCACATGTGTATAAACACCTACAGATACCTACTTAAATCATACACTGCAGCTATACTCTGCTCCATTATACCAATGTGACAAGTATTGCATTTTATGAATTAGAAGAATAACATTAGGATGCACACTACTAGCTAAAATGCTATAAATAAAACTTGCATTGAAACTTGTTATGCAGGGATCAAGAAAAAGTACATACAATGACCAATGATTTATATAAACCTAAAACATTACTGAGCTGGCTTTAGGCACTATGATTTCTAAATGAAGTCCATGGTACAAGAGTTGTACAGAGAATTTGCTGTACCAAATACAATGAGAAGTCTCTTTTACATGGATTGTGTCCAAAAACCTACAGAAACCTAATGAGCAGAACATAAACAACAAACCAACCATCCCACTGAGAAGCAGCACAATATATATTAACATTGTAAGAAGAACAGCAAGATCATTTCCTAAGATAAGGTATTAGGTAAACTCGTTATTCATTTAGAACACGTAGTCCCACTCCCCCATAAGATATCCAGGAATGACCACTATAAAAATACAAACAAGGAAAGCACAGGCTAACTGCATCACTGCAAATTTATTCTGTTTCACATAAACAAGTCTTCTCAGTGAATTTTGAAGAGATGTTAAGCAAATGTGACAGATTTGGAGCATAAGTTATCATATTTTGTCTCAAACATGGGCTTTGTCTGTTTAGTTGTTTTACCTTCCTTTGGCATTTCTAATCTATGCCAAGACTCTTAGTAGCACTGAAATACATATTTTGGTAAAAATGCAATTCTCTTCGTATAATAACCATGGTATTTCTTTCTCTCCATCATACAGTGAATACGGAAACAAATATTTTTGTTCTGACTACAGTTTTCAAAGGTCTACCTACACGAGAAGATAATGGCCTCCTGCTAACAAAGTAAAAAAATAATAAATAATTCTATGTTGGCAGGGTTATTATGGAAAAAGTAATGCAAGTGCTAAGGTGTAATAAATAGCCTTACTTACAACTACAATAATCCCTTGAAGTATTTGATGACTATGCTGATGAACACATAATAAATTACCAATATGCATTAGTTAATCTAACTATTTTTTCTCCAAAATAACTGTTTGTCAATACTCATTCTTCAAATTTTATTTGCAAGAGTAGAAACAAAGGGAAACTTCATGTTTTTCTTTCAGTTTTGTGACTTTGTTCATAAACGTCAATTAAAACATACATCTTTCGTAAAAATCTGGCACCATCTTTTTTTTTTTACAACCAAGCTATTTTACCTCCCATACAGCTCTTAAATAGTATATAGAGAGCATATATACACATATTACAGCCACAGCAGTTTTTGGCTTACATAATTTATCATACATCTGTCATTTTTTATAGTGTGATATAGAGTTGAGAAGGATACCTGAAGAGCGGCAAAGAAAAAACTGAGTTATGATCTGTGGTTAGTAGTCAAATGTGTTACCTTATTCAGACTGTTAGAAATAAAAACAGAATATCTAATTTGGTGCAGAGTTCCATTACTTCTGTTGTTGTTGTTGTTAGTGAAAAGCAGTAAAGTGGTTGGTCCCGCATCCTGCACTGTAACACTGTAACCTACCCTAATAGAGAAGAACTATCTTGGCTCTGAGGAAAAAAATCAACCTCTCCCTTCTCTGACCCTATGGAAAAGAAGCCAGGCTGCCATGACAACCTTTGTTCCAAACAGCCTTCCATGGTGCCATCCTGAAGAAACCTAGGGTTCAGTACAGCTGCTGTGCCAGACGCGGACAAAATACAGACCTCTTCACTATAAGAGAAAAGAATTACAACAAAGTGAATTCCTACTACTTAACGCTACTTTTACTTAAAACTATTAGATTAAAAGGCTGGTACAAAAGTCTCAATTAATTCAATATAACTACTAGTTTTGTGCATTTGTGCAATTTTATCCATTAAATCTCACACACAACCCTTTTCTGGTATTTAAACCATTGTATAAGCAAGAGATGCAGAAGGATTGAATGGAAAGACTAAAGAGCTTTGCCCTCTGTTATAAATAATAATGCTGTAACATCACAGGGGCTAACCAGGTTTAAGTATGATTTTCAATACTATGGTTAATAATGCAAAGAAACCCAGCCAAGCAACAAAAGCAAAGAAACATTAAAAAAACCAAGGCGTAATTGTTTACCAAAGTAAAATGGAAGTTGAGAGCCTCATCATCTTATAAACATTCACTCTCAAAATGAAGTTACAACGCAACACTGACAAGGGTGCTTCTTGGAGGATAAAAAGTAGCAAAACAGTAAAATTTGACTAAGAACAACTACAATAATGGTACATTTAGCATGTAAAGTAACTGACCATATTCATGATTTAGCAGATTTAAAGCTCTCAAAGTGCCTATGATCACAGAGCTTTTAATATTTCTGAAATTGTTACATCAGAAACAAATCTCTAACATTCAGTACTTAAAATACTATATTGGAAAAAATACAGAGAAAAGCTTTCCCACGTTTTCTAGAATGATACATGTGCCTTTTTTATTTGTTGTTTCTCTTTCCAGAATAATTTTTCATACATAACATGTCTGGCAGACCAGTACTTACTGACAGAGCCTTGCTCTTTAAGCATGGAATAAAGCTGAACTGGCAAGTAAGCATGGGAACTTTAATACACTATTTTATCAAATACTACCATATTAAATTCCTTAAGAAAAATGAAAGTGTGAAATAACCCAATAACTGACCGCCTATCTACACTCTGTACGTTGTTTCCTCATAGTTAAGGTAGGGGGGAAAAAAATATGTATATATTCATGCTTTTTACAAGGAGACTGACAGCCAAAGGAATAAATCTTCCATTTTTAGTGGAAGTTCATCCCTCAGCGATGGGAACTTGCACATTGCAATTCTGAGGTAAATATGGTCTTTAATACACCAAGCAAGACAAGACATAACCAGACCAGACAGCATAAGGAATACAAAGCATGCCTTGTCTGTAAAGTAAGTTCTCCTGTTTTCCTACTCCACTAGCACAAGCACTTGACTTCCAAAAATTGTTTTCAAGTTTTGTGAAAGATCAATGTATCTGGTGGTTGGTTTTTTTCCTTTTACCTGCAGTGAAGCAATAAATGTGAAGGAGCAACAGATGTGAAGCAATCAATGCTGTGGCTTTCAGACTGATAATTTCTGGTTATCTTACTACTTTACCAACAGATGGTATGCACTCATGAAAGCACTGTGTAACTCTATTTCTTTCTTCAACTTATCAACTGCAGAGTAAAACGAAACTTCTTTTTCCAACTTCTCTCTTTAAAAAAGCAAATCTTTAGTGCTTTTTCTTTAAAGTATTTAGGCAAAATCAACTTGACAGAAAATAAATTCAGATGTCAGAGTCTGCTTCAGTTACTTTCCTAAAGCAATTCAAAACAACTAGTGAACCAGAGCACTTTTCTGTTTGATACCAATCAGACATACTTGGCCCCAGGAAGAGCTCTTCATAGATTACTTTCTGGAGCTAGAAAGAGACACAACCTTTCCCGGGCCAGAGAGAGGACGAGTAATTAGATGAATCCCAAATTATTTTTCCCAATCTCCAAGCCTCTCACAAAGTTTGTCATTAAGCCACCAAAATACACAAGATTGGAATTTTCTTAGCCAAAGGGAATACAGTAAGACACTGGAGTTTTGGCCTGAACAGGATGCAGGGCTGGGGAATCCAACCTCAGAAAGACTATTGCACAGCTGCAGTTTAATATGTTAAACACTACTGTAGTACTGAAAGATAAAAATAGTGACATGCATTTTCCAGAAAGAAATACAGAACGTTTACACCTGAAGTATTCTAGATCTATCAGGCAGCATATTCTCCTTTAACTTACAATTAATATATTCCTAGTAAAGAACTTGTTACTTAAGTTTGAGGTTTACCATTTAAGTACTGGTCTGCCAGTTGTTACCCAATAACGAAACTGCAATACGTACACTTTTAGGAAAAGTCTTAATTATTTACGTAGATTAGATTATTTACTACAAAAGCAAATATGTAGGTTTGAAATTTTTTTTTAAAATAAAAATTGTAATGTTCATTAGAAAAATCTTAAAACCCAATGAAAACCCAAACCAAAACATATTAAAAAAAAAAAAGCAGCACAATAGTGGTATCTCAGAAAGTTAACAAACTCTCCGAAGAAGGTATACTACACAGTACCAACAACTGTGTTGAAATAGTTCATCATTTTTAATCCACTGAAGATGAAATAAACTTTCTGTGGCATTTTGAAATCAAATCATCATCATGATTTACCAAATGCTAGTTGATTCACTGTAGCCCACTACAGCATGACAACCCAATGCCTTGGCATGGGATTTTATTTCTTGTCTGATTTCTGCCCACCATGCATCTCGTGTCTCTGGTTCATCTGAAAGACAAAGTATAAATCAGTTCACTATTCTGCACTATTTCAACATAAAGCTTCATGCAATTAATCTGAAAAGTCAAATTTTTCATATTCAAGTGTTTTGTTGTATCTGGACTTTTTATTTCCTAGCTATCACACTTCAAGCAAACACTAATGGGGCTTTTTCATTAATTTTCTTGTTCATCACCCATGTGAACAGGTTCTGACAAATTACTGCATTCTTGTTGTCGTCCATATGACAAATAACAACAAAATACTGTAGATACTGTTCCAATCTCTACCCACTTGAAGTCCATACTGTCAGTTTCCAACAACACAAGAGCAGCATGTAATTTGCAACAAAGCATCACAGATACTCTGCAATATTGAAAAACTAGTAGTAGTAATGAAACAGTATGTGTAGTAATAAAGTAGTACTTTACTTCGGTATACACTTGACGTCTTTGAAATAACCTCAATAGTTTTTCCTACTGCAAGCAGTTCTCTCTGTCAACCAGATTTTAAAAATATTTGTTTTTGACTGTATCACTAATCACACACACAGCTCTGTGGTCCTTATTTCAGCGCTCCTAACTTTGAGAAACCATAGGTATTTGAAACTACTTCTACATTAACAACATTAAGAAGTACAAGATGTATGTTGACTACGTATTTGTCGATGCTTTTTTGTTTCATTATCCTGGCAACCCCACCTTCCCCTTCCCCCAAATGGGGGGGATAAATGGGGACAATAAATACCTTTATTGTCTTTGAGGTTACAAGTTAAAATGTATCCTACCTGCTTTTCTTGAACGCTACATTAAAAATGCAAAAAAGAGTGCTACTAGAATAAGTTTATGCAATCCATTTATTTTAACTGTTCACCAATTAGTTTCCCAGAATGAAATCTCATCTCGCAAGCTTTACATGAGACGTCAATGAGTACTGTCGTTTATAATTACAGTTCATCAACTGTTTCTTATTTCAAAATGGCTTACCTGTACCAATGAACTTAGTTGAAAACTGTGTTAATTGTTGATACATAAGGGGGAAAACAATAACAAACTATAGGCACTCAGATACTACAAAGGGTTCTGAGTAGATAGATTCTTATACAATTTCCCTGAAATCAACTGAACTTTGCACAGATACAAACTTCCAGCCATTGATATCTCTTTGCTGAATCATAGTTTAAAATATCAATGTCAAAATCTGAGATTCATTTGGAACCAATTTTGTACTATCAGGAATATTTATAAATATAGTGTATGATAACCCTATATCATACACTAGGTTCTCTGACAACATGACAAACAAAAATGAAAAATGCAGATATACACATACTTTGAAATTTACTGAAACAAAAATATTATACGGCAAGATGTATTCATTCATGAATTTACTTCAGCTTTTCATTTAGAACAAGGCTTTCAGCTTTCTATAATAAACTAATGGTCATGTTCTAATTAAAAAAAGAGTAGAGAGATATGCATATTCAACTATACCTAAACTTTGGACATTAATGCTTATGTAATTTACAGCACTGTACTGACTAACAGCAGCCTTGGGTGTGCAGACTGAAGTTTATCCAACCTTTGCTTTAAGAAATGAACACTGAACAGAAAAAAAAAACCAAACCCTACAGTGACAGTTCTTAGGAAGGTTCTCCGCAATCAAGACAAAAATATATACATTAAGACACAAGAGAATGAGGATTTTCATGAACTGTATCGATCATGGGCCATTATATCCAAGTTTACCTTCAGCAGGTTTCAATGCATTACCAGTAGAATCTCGAGGCATTGCACTTTGCCATTTCTCAACATGAAAACACTGTTTGAACACTTTCACTGACCGGGAAAATCAAATGCTTGAGATGATATACAGTAATCCTGACTCAGACGGTTGGAGTACCTGCTAGCAAGGTCTCACACTTTTCAGCTTTCAAAAGCTGAGACTCATGCAGAAGTAACCCATCACATCATAGGGCTGGAGTTCCCAAGCTCAACTATGAGAACCATTTGCGGTATACATAAAGGAAAGTGGGACGCAAAACATCTTCTCTTTTGCCTGTGCACCTCTGTCTGAACAGAGGCTGTTGATTGCTGCCACCAGTTAATGGCAGTAGCGGTAGGTGAATGGAGTAACTTTGGAAATCCATTTTAAGGCAAAGGCTACAACATCTGACAAAATGGAGAGCTGTATGGGAGATGTGAGACCACAAGCACATTCTGTAAATGTTAGCACTAACTCTTCATGGTGGAAGGGACATGGATCTTAGGAGCAATTCCTCCTTCCCCATCCAATCACGGACAAGAAGACTGCTTATCAATGTGTGTTTCTCTCTATAACAGAAAAGTGTAAGTAGTTGGAAAAGTGGTTCACTGACTATGCAGAACAATTCTTGCTCAATTAGACTTGATCACAGACAGCTGGCTATAAACATTGACTGAACAGCCACACAAATTTCTGCACTTCACAGAAAAACACCTGCAAAGGAGAAGTAACCTTTTTCTAGACATAAACAACGACGAAAAAGCCAATTTTACTAAATCATCACTTTTCTCTTTAGATACCATTTGGCAAAACCTGCTCCTACTTGTCACCAATGACCTTTCTATGACAAAAAGTGCAAGAAATGCAAAGTCATGACTAGGAGTTGAAAGTGAGCAACAGGTGAAGCGACTGGGGATGAACAGGGAAAGCGCTGTGGAATAAATAATAAGATTGCAAACAAGAACATGACACTGAAAAGGTATGTAGCCACAGTAAAAACTGAAACAGAATCAAATGTTGAAAGGGAACAGATATGCTTAAGGGTAACAGAAAAGGTAGAAATAGTAGTGACGGGTCCCAAAGTGTATGCAAACATTTAACTTTCCTCGACAAAAATTTATAGTTTAAATTAAGGTTTAGGAACAAGTTCCTAAGAGAGTTAACACAATTTTCCCACCTAACTTATCCACAAGAACGCCTTATCATAATGGAAAGCACATATTGTCGTGAGGTTGCTCAACACTATGTCTTGCTAAAGCAACATTTAACCCTTTACTCTGAGAATCTGTTCAACATCAGAATTAACAAAACTATTAACTACAGTAATATAATGGATCATTTTCATTCTTATTAGAGTAAGAACAATTTTCCAGCCATTGAATTCAGTGTTAACAGGATCAGGCCCAGTACCTTTCAAAAAATCTAACAAATTCTCATTGCGCAAGTTCAAAAATGTTATTACGAGTCATGCATAAACAAGTGTTTGTAAAGAAGACTGGGCCCTCCGCTTAACACATTTAATTATTTTTTTTTCTTCCAGAAAGAGGCCAAACATACGAATCAGTATGTTTATATATAAATACTGTACATTCACCATTTACATGAACTTACCTTTGCATATTAAAACGCAAAATGATTGTCTACAATTAAAATCAAACACCATGACATTGCAATAATAAATTGATACAAAACACTGAATGCAGTGCAATGTGTAGCATTCATATTCTTCTGACAGATATTTTAACAAGCAGCCTTTTTTGACACGAGCCACACAATTTCACATGGGGATGCCATTGTAGCATTTACAAGTTTAGTAAAGCTAAGGATTTACATAAACAATTAGAGGAGTCAGGGAAGCAGGATGGCATGTGTCCAGTACACTCCGTAAGAGTGTCTGTTGCTGGTTTTTGCTAAGGCAAAAGCTTAAGAACTAAGGATTTGCAAAGCAGATTCAGCAGACAGTAGCCAGAAACGGTGGGTATTTTGGCGCATGCTTGGATCAGGTGACAGTACAGACTGAAAACTATGGCAGCTCACTGAAATGGTTACAGAAAGTAATGGCCCTGGATTCTAGGTGGAAGCAAAAAGGCAAGCATACATAGCACTCAATCACAAGCTTTTCTAGCAAATCTACTGAGTAGTTTATAGCAAAGTTTATCTACAACTTCAAAACAAAAGAGTTTGTAAGAATTACACTGTTATTATGCACCCTTTATTGGAAACCAAAGACTGAATATTAAACCTACTTTTATTAATGTTTAAAAATTGGCATGATATTTATAACAAAGCGGAAGCAAAGTACACTGTTTCTAGAGTTGAAGACTTGAGAAACAATGTTGTCAACAGTACAGTATTCTATAAAAAATCATGCCAACTCAAACTTCCGCCAGCTGAAACTTTCCAAACTTATTTTATTAAACAGCTTTAGCTTTTCATTTCGTGCCCTAAATGTTCTTTGAATCAGCTCCATCCACCACCAATTCACCTATCTCTTTCCTTCAAAATAGGAGGTTGACTTCTATGAGGCTGTATTGTCGACAGGACAACATCCTGTCCAAATCTTTCACCTGGAGATAACCCTAGACACTATCAATACTTTCTGATTCATAAGAAGAAACACCTTTCCAAAGTCATTTGCTAGAGGTTCACTTGTACAGGGCCTTTCAAGATTTAGCCAGAATCTGCATTACGCTACGTCCATACAGATTTTTAAAAACTGAAGAAAAATTAAGAAGAATGGTCTCTTGATTACACAGATTGTACTCAAGAGTTATTGTATTAAAACTGAATCCCTAGACATCCTGAGACGATTACTCTGAAGTAGGAACTGTACGACTCATTTAAACCTATTTTAATATTGTATAATTTAGTAAATATTTACATTTATCACGTAACATTCTGAAATGAGGAGGACAATCACACTATGAAAGTTTCCACAATCTACAAATGACTTACTGTTCTGTTGTCTCAAAAATGGCAATGGAGACACCAATAATATTATTTCAAATTCAATCTTTGAGTCTTTCACTAGGCAGACCCATTATCCACACCTTCCTTATCCCCTTGTTCTTGTATCTTCTTCATTACAACCTATTAATCAGCTTATACAGAAAAAAAAGTGTGGGATTTTTTGTAGGTTTGTTTTGGGTTCTTTTTAAGACACCTTTGTTAGGTTTACAAGCATCCTTCCCTGGACCTTGAAGTTTAATTTAATCCTCTCTGGTTATTCCATAAATACTGACATT